TAATTTAAAGATAATGTAAGTTAAGGGAACCTAGGAATTGAATATAAATCATCATATATATGTTCTTACCCCAAAACTTAGAAAAAGTCTTTCGAGCTAGAATTTTGAGTAACAGCTGAATGTATTAGAGAGAGCGTTAAAGGTTAGAAATTTGTGAGTAGTTTACTCTAATACTGTAAAAATAATGTTTTAATTTCAATTGTAGATATAAATCCTATTATGGCATTTTCGAGTACGGGGCTCGTTTGTGCTTGATTGTTAGCTAGGAGACCAGATAACTAAATTTCTATCTGTTACATGCATTGGTATGAGGTTGGTGAGTGATTTTATAACCAATTTTCATAAACCTATATTATGTTTTGTATGAACTGTCTTGTGGGATACTGTTTTAAAAAGGATTGAAATCGTTTGTATTGTTAGAAATTAATGATTATGACTATGAGGTGTTATTCTAGAATTCGGTTGATTATGCATATAAATGTGTTATTTTGAACCCTGTGCATCTAGTTTGGGTGAGGGAAGGAGATGATTGGAGTTACTGAGATGCATATACTTACCACGTGGTATCGGCCTCCATACGGAGCTCTATGGTTGGCCACTATTATTGTCCCACTAGTTCTTCGAGGGACTGTGACACCCCACTAGTTCTTACAAGAGGGACCCATGGTCCACTGAGTGCTTTGTGGTCTTTGGCCTGTCCAGATCACTCGAGTGGTAAGCTTGTCAGAGTAGCCAGTCAAATGGAAAGAACTTAGCCCATGAGTCCAGTCGGCGGAAATAAAGAGGATATAAGGATGGATTTGGGTTCATAGATTTCATATGACATGGTCTCTTCATTTGATATTTATATCTTTTGAATAAAATGAAAAGTATGTTATCTCTTTTGAAACTATTAGCTGTATGAGATTGGCAGAAATATTCGACTTATATGATTATTGTGAGTTTAGCTGTTAAATAAATGTCTATTGATTGTTTTTAACTCGGTGTATCCCACCTGACACCTCACTAGTCCATGCTAGTGTGTGTGATAGGTAGGGTTTTAGTTACTAAAACGTTGTCTCATCCCTATTGTTTAACATTTTTCAGGCGAAAGCTTTAGAGGGGGGACGTCAGGGAAGGCTTAAGAGGAGTAAAGCTACATTAATGACTTATCGTGTCTCCTCGATTTATGAGTTATGTTGTATCCTGTATATTGTCATCTTAGGATAAACTGTGTTTAATTGATTCATGCATTATGATGTGTTATATCCTTTGAGTTGTACTCTTGTGATATGCGTGCTGGTAGTTGGCCAGAAATTTAGGATTGCATGTGATTTGTTTATTAATTTATTATAAAATATGAATTTCTCATTTAATTCTTAATATTTCGATCTATGAGCTATATTATATGTTGTTTTGTAATCATATTAGATGAGATTGATCATTTCTTACATAGGTTGTATTTGAATGAGTTAAAAAAAGTTCTTTTATCCGTGATAGGATATATGATTGGGTGCTGCTCTTTTCTATCACGGATAACATTATGATATAGTTAGTTAGGGTAGATGACTGTAATACAATTTGGGCTCGTATTTAGCATGGTTTCGTTGTAAAAAGCTATTTCTTAAAGTTATTATATATATTTAAAAAAAGGGTGAAATTTTTCGGTTTATTTAGAAAGGTTGTTTCAATCCACATGGGTAATTTAGAGAAAATTAATAAATATCAGAAATGGGTCTTATATTTAGGAGCAAAACTAACTTAATAATTAAGTCTTATATTAAGAATTGGAGGAGTATTTATTTTGAGATTTCAGGGGACATTAAATTAATATTGTGTTGCTTGGAACATGCTTGTAATTTCCCCAAACATCAATCCCTTGAGGCTCACGTTGGTGTTCCTCACTTCCATAGCATGATGATAGAGCAACTAAACAATGTTGTGTATTTAATTGTTTGCAATAAAAAATTTTCTATCTATTTTTATTGGTGACATATATTAAATAGACTTATCATTAATGAGGACAATAGTTAACGCTATGTTTGGTACGGGATTTTTGGAGGGGAGGGGAGGGAAGTTGTTCCCCTCCCCTTGTTTGGTTAGTGTAATTTTTTAGGAGGGGAGGGGCTCTCCTCCCCTCCCCTCGTTTGGTTAAAATGTTTTTTAAAGAGGGGAGGGGTTTTTCTTCCCTCCCTTTCCCTTCTAGCCTCCCCTCCAAAAGTGGGGTTTTTTGAAGGGGAGGTGAGAGATAATATTTTAATTCCTTATATACCCTTTTGATTTGTTAACATCTAATCAGTCGTAAACATTTCTACATAAGAGAGTCCTTTTAAGTATCTAACAAGAGGTTATTAAGATAATTGTCTCCAAAATTAGTGAGCATTGTAAACTTTTTTTTTCTCTTCTTCTAATTCCAAGAGGCCGTTGGTATTTTCTTTCACCTTCAGGGTCTTTTCTCTGATTGAAATCTATTACTTGTGACTTTTTATCTTGATATTCTATAAGTGTGTGACTGTGTCTTGTAAATCAAAATTGGTGAATTGTATTATATATTTATAGTTATATCTTAACAAAATAAAAAAGTGAGAAAATTCATTTAAATTTTATGAGGTTAAAATAGTCAATTTTTTATTAGAACAAAATAAGGTATTATTAAAATTGCTCCCTCCCCTCCCCTCCAATCAATCCAAACAGGATATCATTAAAATCCCTCCCCTCCCCTCCCCCTCCCTCCCTCCCTCCCCTCCCCTTTGTAGCTACCCTCCCCTCTCCTCCCCTCCCCTTCCCTTGATTAAAATCCCTCCCCTCCCCTTCCCTCTATCAAGCCAAACACAGCGTAAAGAGGGTATTTTAATAAAGTTAGCACATATTTATTATAAACATCTAACTATCTACTCCTCTGATCTTATTTATAGGACACTTCCAACATATTTTGTAAAGAAAAATTTTAAACTACATTGACTTTTGTTTAAAATATAATAATTTTCTAACTTTATCTTTATTTAATATATATATCTTTCAAAAAAATAATCATTTACAATATAATAAATGAAGAATAAAATATTATATTTATTCTAAAAATTTAATAACATAACTTATAAATAAGATTAAAAAAAATTTTCTTCCTCTATTTTATATATAGGACCAAAGGAGTAAGTTTAAATTATCTCGTTTTTATATTTAGAACTGATGGCAACATTTTACAATACCATACATATTTAAGCTCCTTCGCGTTGCCCAGCATGAAACATGGCGTGATTAAACCTCTAACAGAATTTGATAAATATTATCATTGTATAAACGTTGGTTTGTTATAAATTTCATGTGTGTTTGTGTATTCAAAATTTCACCAATCAAATTATTCAATAAGATTTCATCTTAACCATAATTCTTATATTATTGCTCATGTAATTTTATTGTGGTTTACTGAATGATTTATCTTAAATTAGTGTCAAAATTTATTGATTGACTGCAATTTGTTAAGCTCTGAAAGATAGTTAAAAAATTTGGAGGCGATGTAAGATAATGATAATTTTAGAATGATAATTCAACTTAAAAATTATCAAATTCTTAGAAAATATTAGCTGAATAAAATAAAATGATCCATAACAAATTATTAGGATAAATAACTTAAATCTCTTTTCAGACAAAATTATAACTAGCATTATATGTATTTGGCAGGATCACACAATGTTTCATTCCATCATTTTTAATTTTAAGTAAATTTCATTATTTTATAAAATATATATTTAAAATAATATTTTTGACATTTATTGATTAATATTACTAATTATGCGCAAATATATTTTCTATGACGAATGCTTTCCATCACAAGAGCCAAAGAATAAAAATCTAAAGATAAGAGCTGAATTAGCATTTAGCACAATTATCTTTTGTTAATTGAGACCTTAATTAATCAATTAATTAATTAGGTCAATCAGGAAATTATCTGGGAAAAATCGTGAAGGAAGGGTTTGGTTTCTCCTTCTCGAGCGTCTATATATATAGGAACAGGCAGGAGGGACGTATCTTAACACACCGGCATTCATCTCAACCCTAGCCCTATCTTTCTCCTCCTCCAATCCCTTTCTAATTGCTTAACTCTCATTCTGCCGCATCGATTTTGCTCGATTGGCTGCAGGTACGAGTTTCTTATCGCTCATTTATTTTTATTATTATAGTTTAAACTTGTTAATCTGATTTTTTTGTTTTTTTTGTTTTTGGTTATAATTGTCGTCATCTTCTAGTTGAGCAAGCTTTGATCATATTCAGTTTCAGTTCTCGGTTGTATCTTTAACGCGTTTGGTTGATTGTTACCGATTTTATTTTATTTTTAATTCTGCGGACGCAAGCATCTGTCGTTAACAATCTCGGTTTTTGGTTACAAACCTATGTCTGCTTTAGGTTCAGGGGAAATCAATTCTGTTTCAGATTCATTAAATAAATATCTCTGTTGGGAATTATGAACCTGTAATCAGTTTTTGGGTTTTGCAATATTATTTCACGGTGCAGATTTAATGTGAGTTTTTGTCTGGGGGTTATTTTCGCTCGCATAGCGATGATACCCCATTTTCTTAAAATCCATTGGTGCCATTTATTGAAATCAGACTTGATGTGTTCGGGATAAAATAGATTTATGCTGTAAGCCGAGTGTAGTTCAGGGTTTCCAGATATTTTGATTTTGATTTGGCGAACTACTTCCGTAAATCTTGCTGGGAATCTAGACTCTTCCGTCGTTTTTTTATTCATTTTATAGATGTGGTTAGTGAGTTCTGACACACCTCTGTTCCTTAGAATTTATGCGATTATTATCTTATTGCCTTTCCCCGGATATGATGGGTGGAAAGATTGTGTTTTAAACTAGTCCTTGTTTGTACTTATCCTGTTATCTTCTTTTCGGTATCTTTCCTCTGTATTGAGCTATTAACAGTGCAAGAATTGTTGGTGTTTCTCACTTGAGGTTTGTTGCCATTTAAATAATTTTATGTACCCAAATAATAAGTCTTGTGTTTCTGACTTAGGATTCCTGCAAGTTTAGCAGATTCCTGAGTTGAAGGTGTTGCATTGAAGGCTTTTTTATGTCCGATTCGGCCATCATCTATTTGGGATCAGTTGGGTTGCTTGGAGAGTATTTTCCTTTATCCAGGAAAAAGTACAGACCCTTGCCTAGAAAAATCAGCTGCATGCATCTCGAGCCATATCAGGAATACCCTGAGTTCTGTGGTTGCTTCTCTTGGCAACCTCCTATAGTCACAGGAGGGTCTTCTTCCCAAGTCCTCACAGCCTTAACGGCCGACACTGCTGCTTATTGTCCTTCAAATTCCTCAATTTGCTGCTCTTGATATCCTGTTATCTTTTGTGAATTTCACTAGTCATCATGGCTTTGCAAAACATTGGAGCTGGAAACAGTGATGATGCCTTCTACAGATATAAGATGCCCAAAATGATTACCAAAATCGAGGGCAGAGGCAATGGCATCAAAACCAACATAGTTAATATGGTTGATATTGCAAAGGCTTTGGCAAGGCCAGCTTCTTACACAACCAAATATTTTGGTTGTGAGCTTGGAGCTCAATCCAAATTTGATGAGAAAGCTGGGACTTCTCATGTTAATGGGGCACATGATACTGCAAAACTTGCTGGTCTTCTGGAGAACTTCATTAAGAAATATGTTCAGTGTTATGGTTGTGGGAATCCTGAAACGGAGATCATGATCACCAAGAGTCAAATGATCCAGCTAAAATGTGCTGCTTGCGGCTTTGTGTCAGATGTGGACATGAGAGACAAGCTGACCACCTTTATAATCAAGAATCCTCCTGAATCCAAGAAAGGGTCCAAAGACAAGAAGGCGATGAGGAGAGCTGAGAAGGAGAGACTGAAAGAAGGTGAAGCAGCTGATGAGGAACTGAAAAAATTGAAAAAGGAGGGTAAGAAGAAGGGTTCTTCCTCTTCCAAGGATGGAACTACAAAATCAAAAAAGAAATCCACTGGCTCTGATGAGGACCGTGCATCACCTACTCATGGTCAGGTTCATGAGGAACCTCGTGTTGAAGAGGAAGAGGATCATGATGTCCAGTGGCAAACAGATACATCACTGGAGGCTGCTCGCCAGCGCATCCAGGAACAATTAAGTGCTGTGACAGCTGATATGGTTATGCTCTCTACGGAAGAGCCAGAGAAGAAGGCAAAAGCAGCTAACAAGGTTAATGGTGGGTCTGAGAATGGGACCTCAATGTCATACAGGTCTCTTGTTGAGGAAGTCAAATCTGATTTGCAGAAAGGTGTATCTGCGAAGGAACTTCAGCACCATTTAGCATCCCTTTCTGCATCTTCTCAGGAAAAAATGAGTGCTTTGTTTGAGGCCCTTCTTTCCGGCATTGAGAAAGGATTCGCCAAGGAAGTTGTCAAAAAGAGGAGCTACCTTGCTGCTGCTGTTGCTGGGGAGGAAGGATCGCAGATGCTATTGCTCCATGCAGTTGAGGACTTCTGCTGCAAGGGCAGTTCCAATGCTTTGAAGGAGGTTGCCTTAGTGCTGAAGGCACTTTATGATGCTGATGTGCTGGAAGAAGAGCACATAGTGCAATGGTATCAGAAAGGGCTCAAGGGAGATTCCAAGGACTCTAAGATATGGAAGAATGCTCAACCATTCATCGAGTGGCTTCAGAATGCAGAATCAGAGTCAGAGGAAGAGTAATGCGTTGTGCTTAGTTTGTCTTTGGTTCTATTTTGTTGCTTATGTCTTCAGTTTCAAATAAAGGGTCTGGTTGGCCCTATGTATGTGTTGAGCCTTGCTATATGGACTCTGATTTGTTGCATTTTATAGTCGACTCTGGTGGACCCATGCGGGGCTGAGACTCGTGCGTGTCTGTTACCATATATAATTCGTATTGCTTGCTTATGTTTGTCTTAAATCGTTGGGTCGTGATGTTATAAAATTTCCCTGTTTGGATGGTTTTCCTGAAGTACTTATCACGGTGTTTAGTTGATTGACACAATCTTCTGAAGATTACAGAGGTTGAAATATGGTTATCCTTGAGGAGAATATAAGTTTGTATCTTGGGTAGGATTTTAGCTTTAATGGTTCTGGCTGAAAAATGAAGTATATAATTGCTTGTTAGAAAATGTTATGCTGAAACACGTTGAAAATAGCAGTAGATTCTTATAGATGTTGCAAGTACTTGATCTGTGGGGTTCTCTGTTTTCATCTGAAAAATTGTGGAAAATGTTGAAAACTTGAGTGGGTTAATTGTTTCATTTGAAATTGGATTTGAAGTGTAACCTCAAATTTTTTGGCCAAACAAGATGGTACTTAATTGCAACGAATCTTTTGTATGGGGGGTAAATATTTTCTAGCTAGTTACATTATTATTCATTTTTCAAATCATTATGCAACGTATAAATGCATGCAAGTTGCCAAGTTATACAAGTAAAAAATAAAAATAACATTACCCTAGCAGGCTAAACACCTCTTGTAAGCAAGAATGATACTCTTCCGGTCCTTAATATAAGATCTATTTAACTAATTTGATTGGATTAAGAAAGTTAAATAAGTTAATTAATTATAAAAAATGTGACATGTTTTTCCTAAAATATCATAATAATCATCTTTTTTAATACCCCCTCCCTCTTCTACTTGATTATAGTTGAGGGAATATCTATAGGGGAATTTAGAAATATTATGGATCAAAACCAACTCAACAATTGGGTCCTATATTAAGGACCGGAGGAGTAATATTTGCATACGTAAACTTGTTCTTTCAGGTCAACGAAAAAATAATAAACCTACTCGAAACTGGGCCAAGAAACTCACAAGAATAAAATGTGGCTTTGATTGATTAATTCCCATTCTGTCAATTCAATTATGGAAACATAAGTTATCGCAGCAATGACTTTGCACCTAAATTTTCGGGGGGAAAAAAAGCAAAGAATAAAATAACAATATAATAATACATGTTATATGATTTTAACATTTGAGAAGTAAAGTATATGGCATTGTTAATATGTTTCCCGCCCCACCCATTATATCTACATATGTACAACCGTTGTCTCTGATTACATCAAATAATTTAATCGAAATGACGGCCTACTGAGTAATTGACCCTGCAATTCATCCTGCCTAGTTCGCCATCATAATCATGGAAATATTGAATAATCAATCCCCAAGTGACCATCGGATCAAGGAGTGCCCTTCACTGTGCTGGTCTGCTCCATCCACATCTTCTCATCATTAGCAATATCTTCATCCAATGTTCACAAAAAAATCACAAAGCACAAATTAAGTACAGTAATCAAATTCTCAATGTGAAGATCAGAAAGCAGAAATCTTTCAACATCTCAGCCTATATGATACCTTTGATCCTTACTATAAGCAGTAGTTGAAATATAATCTTAAATATAAGACCTCAATTCATTGTGTCTGCCATACTTATCATTATTTTCTTAAACTATCTCTATTGATTGCACATGTCAAAGCAGTTTACATCAATGCGTAGTTTCAATGCAAATGATTTAAGAAGATACTTTAAGGAAATCAACACATATTTTTGACAAATAACTAATTTAATTAATTTTCTTAATCCATTCAAATAAATTGGGTAAATCTTATATTGAGGACCGAAAACAATATCTCCACGTGATAGCAGATATTACCTTGAGACCTTTACAAGATATGAATGACACGAGACTGAGGCTGTTCCAACTCACTCTCCTCATGTTGCAGAATAGAGGAGTACTGATCCTGTTACGAAAGCACAGATCTAGCCTCAGAGAGAATAAACCTATGAATCAAATTCAAATCTGGAATGCTGTATATTTGTGCAAGAAATGTACCGGAAAAGCTTTTTTTTTTTGGTCCTTCCTTTCACTCAGATATAGAAAATTACTCAACAATCCTTGGCCAATCACGAAGGGTTTTCTTTAATCATGTAACCACACATTGAACCCTTGACATGTGGGAGAATCATTATCCTCAAACTAACATGGTTATAAAATATTATACCTATGTCTGGGTTCCACTTCCATTTTACACTCATTTTTCTTCTCTCTTTCTCTATTCTAGAGTAAGCAGTGTAGCAGACATAGATACTTCTAGAACTACATAAGATCCGAAGTGAGTCAGCAGTGATAGAAATTTCAAAATCAAGCATTAATTCCCTTGAATCAATAAAGATTTCTATTTCAGTTCATCCCTGGAGTTGAATACCACATTCAAGAATTGTGTTTGTCTACCACCTTAATAAGAAAAAGGTTAGATTAACCAACCTGGAATCGTCTCCTTTGGATAATGGTAAATACCTTTACCATTATACATACAGGTAGAAGTACTGCGATTGTTCTCATGAACAGAAACTGCAATCCATAAAAGTAAGATTTTCTTTTAGATTAATGACTGGCTCAGAAGTTGGTCAACTTTTTATTATCCGAATGAAAATACTCTCCATCTTCCTTTACCATATAAATAGTCAACGAGTATTCCCCTCCTCCACTGAGTATGATTGGAAGGGTATGGCGTAAAACAAGAAGAGCGATAAACTGAAAAGGATAAGGAAACAACCTCATGGTTAGTATGGTATGAGAAACATGCCTTTCTCATCTGATAATTTGCATAAAAGTAATGCAAATGCTCAGGGACCAAAAATGTGATCTAGAAAGTTATCCTAATACTCATTCTGTTTTTCTAGTTTCAAGGAAAAATTCATAGAGTTCAAATACTCTTTCATTTAAAGGAAGGAGGATGGAGAATAGAAGTAGTCTTTTAATTGTGAACTTGCACAAATGAGTATGGGGAATAAATAAAAAAAATGTAATATAGACTGCTCGAATGAATTTTTACAGTCTAGATCGGCTCAAATCAGCAAGACAATCCTTTCCCGTAAAAGAGGCATCAAGGAAGACAAGGAAATTACAATAATTGCAACAATGCGAAAGCAGACCAGGCTCCCTGTCGAGGGTACTGAGTATTCCTCATCAGTGTCTGAGAGTTCTCGATTAGCAGCAGCAAACATATCTATGAACTGATGATTTTGCAGATCCCTTCTGGATATCTCCCAGTTACCTCTGAGATGACAATGCCAAGACAATTGATCAAAGAAAAGAAAATACATAGAAACTAGGACTATGAATATGATGATGGATAAAAAGGATTTTACCTAAAATTCAATGGGGAATTACCATAATGGAATAGTGGAGGCGGTGCTGTATAACCGGGCTTGAATTGCTACAGTTACCGAAGCCCAGACAAATGAAGGAGCTTAAACAAAGCATGTGTTTATGACTATGAATAACTTCAATGAGAAAACAAGCATGCAAATACATTGATTACAGACCTGTTGGCAAATCTCACAGATAGTATCACCTTTCTCATTGCACCATCTTTGAACACATTTTCGATGTGCATACTACAATAATCAAAAGAAAAGGAAACTCAGATGGAACAAGCACCTAAACACCAATATTGAATCTTGTTCAGATAAACTCTAAAACCATACCAGTCAAGAGGCAATAAATAGATATATAACATTACAATAAGAATACCTTAGAGAAGCATATCTTGATTAAATTATGAATATAAGTTGACTGTTGAAGGCATCTAAGCTTACAATTTTATGATCAACACCTAGAATAAATTGGGAGAAATGAGCTAAAGCTCAAGGAGATGTTCATTTTGAAGAATGCACAGCATTACAACAATTATGAAATCGCAGCAAATTCTTTTGGCTGTGGAATTTGTGTGAAACTTGACAAATTAATCAGTAACAGAAATATAAATGATGAGATCTTACATGAAATATAAAGCAGTGCAACCACCTTTCAAGACTTTCACTGGAAAAGTATTTAATTACAAAGCACTCTTACCTTCAAACTGCCTCTACAAGAACAGGGAGGCTCCATGTTTGAGTCTTCATCCTCATCATGACATATCCGACACTGTACCAATTTATGGGTAGATAATCTATTTGCCCCATCCATTTCATGCAGAACTCAAATAGTTAATTAAGAAGGTTTTGCCGGCCACAAGCTCCTTCCATTTTCAAAATCAGGTTTCAGAGTAGCTTCGTTGAGTAGCTGATCAACCAAAAGAACATGATCTCTCAATGTTTACTAATAGCAAAAGAACTTAAAGTAAACTAGCAATTTGGTCCCTAAATCGACAAGTGTATTTAACTTCAATCTCCAAAATTAGTGAACACACTGATTGGCCCTCGAAAATGACAATCTCATCACACATTAGTCCACTTGGAATCTCTAAGCTACTTGACATGAGGACTATTATGCAACGAGTTTGTTATTTAAAACACTAACTTGTGTACTTAGTAATTAATGAGGACCCAAGTTAAATGGCTCCAATGATTCAAGTAAAAAATTGTTAGCTTACTTTATTTTCATCAATTCGCTCAAAATTGTATTTTCGACCCACCCATGAAGCAGTCTCTTTTTGTTTTACAGCAAGTCTCCGCTTTTCTATCCTTCAAGAGCTGCTACATTTGGCAGTTCATGAGCTTTGTAAAGAGGGGGAGTAAAAGAAGTAATGAAAGAAAATAACATCTAAACAGTCGTTATACAATATATACCTCTAGTGAAGTTGAAACTCACAACAAAGTACAGGAAAAGATCTGCAATAGGCACAAAGAATTCAATTCAACATGAATGAAGAGCGATGAGTCCATAAAACTTGAAATTTAACCGTTGAAAATGAAAATGAAAATATCACGTTTTTAATTATTAGGAAGCCAAAATGTTGTCATGTCAAGTTCAAAAATCACCCTTCGAGTACTCAAGTTCAGTTCCTTTTATTTTCTCTTGTTCGGGTAAGTCATATATGATTCCAGAACCAATTTCACCAACGGAAAATAATCAAAACAAGTAACCACTCAGACTGTTTTATTCCAGTTCCACTACTGCGATGAATTTTTATGACAATTGTATTTGATGAACTAGTCAACGGAGAAGTTTTTCAAAACAAAAATAAACACAATCGTGCTTTCAAATAGCATTTATAACGACAGAAAGGTGTCACTAGTGCAAGAACACAGCAGTAGAGCCGGCAGAAAAGCACCATAAGCCCATGAAGAAAAATTCTAAGGTACATTGCAAGTATAGACCCAATTGACATGCCCACTTTGAAGAAATCCTATTGCTGCGTTGATCGGAGACGGGGGCCACATGCAATGCACGAAAGAATTTTTGAAGTAAAGCACAACAGCCGAGAATCACATAGCTGAGGAATCAGAAAGAACAGAAGAAACAGAAACCTAATGGCAAGTGCTCACCCTCTATCGACTTAAAAAACCTCGATATTTGGGGAAGAAAATCTTCAAGACAAAAGGAAGGAATACGAAAGCAAGCCCAATTCAGAAAATGTAGCTCGATGAAATTACGAAGAACAGAAATCAAGCTATAAACATAACCCACACTCAAACTGGGAATCCCGTAAATGTAGAAGAAAACCCAGAAAGTTAGACCAAGAGGCTCGAAAAGGTACGACGAATCAGGAAAGGATAATACATACCAAGGAAAAAGAGACTTGGAGAAAACGAAATGGGATTTTCCGATAGAGAAGAAAGCTGAAGCCTTTACCCTACAGCGGACTCTGATCCTTAAAACGACGCAACAGATTGAGTGTTGTCGCGGTCGCAGCCTCGCAGGTAACTCCAAGGAGCCATTACCAAAGCCGATGCCAGTAGAAACCCGAGGTGCGGACGCGCCCATATGAGCACGCGCGAACCAAAAAAATGGTAAACAACAGTTCCTCTGCTTTTCCGCGTATCGTGGTGTCGTGTCGTGGCGTGTTCGCGGTTGAAATGAGCGGTCCAATTGGGACCTTTGTCAATTTTTTCATCTAAACAAAAAGAGGAAATACAAAATTCTGATTTGGATTCTTAAATTTACATGATTTCCGTTAGAGATCCAACCTCAAAGAGGAATTATAAAATGACGGGAAAACATCAAAACATTCTCATTTGTAAAAAAATGTTATTTTTGGCATTAAAAAATATTAATAGTATTCTAATTTCATGCTTATGATTTCACGATTAATACTTATTATTTTTAAGCCACTTGTGAAAATAATGTCATGTTTTACATTAAAAACGTTTCTTTTTTTTTTTTGAATGAATAACTGAATATCATACCACAGAAAAAAGAGGATACAAAGGCTCAAAGCCTATCTTTCACCAACCCCCACCTGTTAAACTAAGAGGGGGAGGGTGATTAAAAACGTTTCTAACTCTAAACTTAAGACTTGTTATTTGCATGTCAATTTCAAAAATAATGTCATTCATAACATTAAATATAAATAATTTTTAATCAAGCAAAAATATTTTTAAATGATAAAAAGTATTTTTAATTAACAAAAAGAATAGTTAAACAAAAAGTATAAATTATAATGTTAAAAAAAAATTGGTGATCTCAACCTTATACTTGTCATTTTATATTTAGGACTTGTTATTTTCAGGTGAATATAAAAATAATGTTATTTTTTGTATTAAAAAAGTTATTGGTAATCCCCAACTTCATGCCTATGATTTCACCATCAGGACTTGTTAGTCCCATGTGAATTGTCGGATATGATTCTTGGTGTTTAAAAAAAAAAAAACAACAAGAAGATGATGTGCTTCTTTCCTTAATTTGTTATTTTTTTAAATAAAGGTTTGTTATTTCAACAAACTTAACTTATTATTTTCGGTTACAAACTTATTAATTTATATAATTTCTGTCAAAGATCCAAACCCAAATAGAAAATATAAAATGACAGGAAAAAGACCAAAATATTGTCATTTGTCAAAATGATATCATTTTTGTCATTAAAAAACATTAATGATATTCTGAATTCTATATTTGTGATTTCATAATTAAGACTTATTATTTTCAAATCACTTGTGGAGATAATGTCATTTTCCTCATTAAAAACGTTTTTAAGACTCTAAACTTAAGACTTGTTATTTGCATGACAATTTTAAAAATAATGTCGTTCATAACATTAAATTATAAATACTTTTTAATCAAACAAAAAAAATTTTAAACGATAAAAAGTATTTTTAATTAAAAAAAAGTATAAATTATAATGTTAAAAAAAACTTGATGATCTCAACCTTATATTTGTCTATTTATATTCAGTACTTGTTATTCCCAAGTAAATTATGAAAATAATATTATTTTTTTGTATTAAAAAAGTTATTGGTATTCTCCACTTCATACCTATAATTTTATCATCAGGACTTATTAATCCCATGTGAATTGTGGGAAAATATGATTCTTGGTTAAATAAAAGAGAGATGTGCTTCCTTCCTTAATTTGTTATTTTTTCAAATAAAGATTTTTCATTTGAACAAACTTAACTTATTATTTTCAGTTGCAAACTTATCAAATGCATATACCAAATTTGTTATTTTAAAATTAACACTTGTCCTTTCAACTGAATTAACTTGTTATTTCTAATTATAAACTTATTAAATTTATATATTGAATTTGTTATTTTCAACTAAAGACTTGTTATTTCAATTAAATTAATTGAAATAACAAGTCTTTAATTGAAAATAACAAGATTTTTATAATCAATAATAAAAAATCAGTAGATTCAAGACTTTAAATCAAAATTTTATATTTTCTATGATCTTTATTTGTCATTTTCCCCAGAAAAAAAGTTATGATTTGTATTTGTCCTTTGGTATGTCAGAAGTTGGAAGAGAGATTTCTTTTAACAAAATATTTTTGATCATCTTGTTTTTATTATTTCAAATGAAAATACTCCATTTAAAACAAGTAACAGGTCGATTAGATTGACTGTATGCCACCATAATGATTAATAATTAAATGAAAACGCTCAAGCTATTTTATATTATAGTAGCACCAAAGGCCTTGTTAAAAAGGTTCCGGGTGCTATCATTGCTGACATGCCTTGTATGTTTGAATATAATATAGTACCTAGTTGTCTCAACTCAAGTGAATGTGCGGGTTTTTTTTTTTTTTTTTTTTAATTTTATTTCCAATTTTTACACGTATTCTAATTCCGAAGCATCCTCATAGCAGTTATTACCTACACGCCCATTCATAAGCACATACTTTCCTTTATCTACAGAGAGATAGATCCCCGATCTTCTCAGTCCATAACATGTGTGAATCTCATTGATGAACGGTTTTTGAATATTATGTTCGGTCTTAATTATAAAACCTTGTTTGTAGTTTACAAATGAGATTTTAGTATACCTATAAGAACCCTTCAAATTTCAAAAATATGTCAAGCATGTTTACTTTAGATAAAAAGCAATAAAATAAAAATAAAAAACATTGAATGAGCATAAAAGAGTGTTAAACCCGTTATTACTATACTCAATTATAGTTTTATGTTTGTTTGGTATGATAGCGTTCATATTTAAAGTGAGTCTTCCATACAAACGATGTGATTGTACATAAGATATACTATCTCTGGTTTTTAATATAAGATTTAGTTAACTAATTTGAAGATATTAAGAAAATTAGTTAAGTTAATTATTAGTCATAAATATGTATTATCTTTATTAAAATACTCTTGCTAATTACGTGTATTAGTTAAAACTACCATTTGATGAAACATTTAACATGTACAACTACTATAAGGATTATTTTAAAAAAAATAAATAAATATAAAAGACAAAATGGATTGAGATCTTATATTTATGACTAAACTGAAAACTAAACTAACTCTTATATTAAAATCGGATGTGGTATAATTACAAAGCAAATTTAGCTTTAGAGCTAATGCAGTACCTCTCCCCTTAAACCAAAGAGTGAAGAAAATAGGGCTTTCACCATGTCGACAGAGTTGAAGAGAAGCAACTCAGAAGATAAAAAGACGCTGAAAGCAACAAGAAGCAGCATCCCCACAGCAAAACATGGCCTTGCGTTCATCAAGTAACTCTGCAACAACCCTACAGCTGCACAAACATGTTCCCCATACTGCCCTTCATAATACTTTCTCTCCCACTGATCCATCATTCCGTAACCTTCTTCATTTTCTTCTTCTTTCTTCTTCTCCTTCATCTTCATCTCTCTTATTCTTAGTCTCAGCACGATCATGTTTTCGTCAACCACTCTTCCCCATTGGTGTTCTCTTCCTCCACTCGCTCTCACAACCGCCGTGCGTCTTCTCCGGTGAGGCGGCGATGATGCCGGTGATGTCCGGCTCCGTGAGGGAAGAACAAGAGTCAGTGCCTCCATTTACGACAAATAAAAAGAGAGATCATCAATATTTATGTGATTTTGTCGTTGTTTGCTTTTACTATGTTAGGATCATACTTATAGGTGAAGTTGCGTGTCCTAAGTGAATTGCTTAATCACGAAGTTTTGGCACTAATGTAGTACAAACTTGTGAAAAAAGAATAGAGAAAAGCCAATAAAGTTCCCAATAATTGATTGATACTCCCTCTGATTTAAAAAATGTTGGAGCTCAATAACTAATTTATTGATATTAAAAGAAATCAGTTAATTTTTTTATTTATAACAAATATATATGTTGTTTTTCTAAAATAACCTCTTCAAATTATTATCTTCAATTGATGGAATCCCTTTTGATATATGCAATTAAAAGGAATAATTTGATTATACTAAAAAAAATGAATAATTTGAAAATATATATAAATTTTGAAAACAAAATGAATTGAGGTTTTATATTTATGAGCAAATTAAATCTCTCAACTAGCACTTATATCTATGAGCATATACACATACTAAGTTCTAATTTCTAGTAGTAGCAGACACCTCGTTTATGTTGGTGGAAAAAAAAAAAAGAAACCCTATTTATAATAATTTAAAGTTTGTTTTCAGATTAGAAATAATGAACATTGGCAAAAAAATATTAGAAAACAGAATTGTCTCTAGAAAAAATTGTGAATTGTAACTTATTTTAATTCCGTTTCTCTCAAATTTTTACCTTGATATTCTTGGAATAATAGATTAACAAATAATATCTCCAGTTTTTAATATAAAAACTAGTTTGACTTTTATTTTAATTTTAAATATAAGATCCCAATCTATTTTGTTCCTCATATTTATCAATTTTTTTTCAAGGTAATTCTTGTAGTGATTACACATGTTAAATGTTTAATCAAACGACATTTAATTAGTAAGGATATACAACACCTATTTATTATAAATAAATAAATTAATTTTTTAATTTACTTAAATTAGTCAATTAGCTCTTATATTAAGAACCGGAAGTAGTATAATTTTTTGAAAAATTTTTTAAAAAGAAAAAATCATTTTGGAAGTACCTATATTTTAATGTGATTTTTAATTTGATTTTTTGATATCTATGTTTTTTTTTCTTAATTAAATTTTTAACTTTGCTACGGTGCAAAATTAAAATAATTTAATTAAGTGGTGACATACGTTTTTTAATTTATATTATATTTTCATCCAAGGCACTAACGAAGCCAAAATCTGATGTGAGAGACTAATAATACCAATAATAATAACTTACACGGAACCGCGTGGAGGATCTTATCTTATCTATCTTTTTTATTTTTAAAAAATATTATTATCTATCAAACGCGGACCTTTTTTGTTTTTTTATAAAATCAAACGCGGACTTTATAAAGTATGTTCATACCCTATTAATTGAGGGATTCTCTTTAATTTCTTGAGCCAAGTCTCACAAACAGACAAAATTTTAGGAC